GTTTTCTCGAGTCATAGGTAGTTCCTTCGTTTCTGGCTAGGGAAGTAGATATGAAAGTTTCCTTGGACGCACAACCTTGGTGAACGAACCAATGGTAAGTTAATAACCGTCGTGTACGAACACAAGAAAATAACTTAACATTTGCTGTTCGCCGATTGGAAGAAAGAAAGCATTTTTTTGTGCCCAATCAGGAGCCAGCATTCGCTTTAGGTTTTGGAAATGGTCTGGTGAGAGTCAGTACCCAGGGGCTCTTCCGCTCGTGCTCTTCGCGTCAATTCTCTCGACCCGACTGAGTGCTCTGAGTCTCCGACGAAGCTTCTTCTTCTTCTTTCTACATCGTCCTGTTCTATATTAAAATATGTATTGAAAAGTGTGTGGATTTCCGTAGAACAAAGCAAGGTTTTGACGGTAAAAAGTCAAACTGAAACGCACTCAAACAGACATATCGCGCGACCGAAGTGAGACGCACTGGCTAATGTTCTTTTGTCTCAAATTTATAAAACGGTACAAACGAACGATAAAATCTGACGTATCGGAGTAGTCATGACTCCATTATCAAGGAAAAAATGTTTTTGATTATGCAAATTACAGCATTTATAGCGATGTGGATCTGAGCCTAAAAGTAAACACCACCATCCAGCCTGTGTTTGCCAGCCGCAAAACTGAACAAGAACTGAAAGTGAAAGAAGCAAAGCCAGCGATCGTAAATGAACAGTGTGTAGTTTATAACTTCTAATGTGACCTGTGTGATGCAGGCTATGTAGGTTACACACGCGGACATTTACACAATCGTGTAAAAGGACATAAACAACAGTCCTCCGCCATTGCCAAACATTACAAGAACGTGCACGGAGCGATCTCTCAGGACCTGCTGAAACGTTTCGAAGTGCTTAAGAAATGCAGGAACAAATTTGACTGTTTAGTGTACCAAATGCTTTTCATAAGAACCTTAATAAAAGCCAAATCTTAACACGCAATCAGACTCTATTCGAGCGAAAGTATTTTCATAATCTTCGCACCCTGTTATGTTAATTTTCGCGCCACATCGCTTTATTGCTGTAATTTGCATGATCAAAAACATTTTCTCCTTGTTAATGGAGTCATTTTATCGTTCGTTTTTACCGTTTTATTTCTTAAGATATCTCAAATTTAGCTATTATTTTGAAGCTACTGTCCAACATTCTTTAAAGTTCTCTTTAAAATACTTTTGCAGTCAAAATTGCTCTCTAACTTACAATGTATATAACTCTGTCAGACTTGAGAACGTTCCTGTTTCCAGTTCCTGAATTTTGTTGTCTTGAAGATATCTGCGCAATGAGAGAAACAAAGAATTGGGTAGGAAAAGGCACTATAAACTTCCGTCACGATAACACCACTCTTAAATAAAATATTGGCCCAAATGCTCCTTAAGATCCGATCCGAAAAGGAGCTTTTTCGCACAGAAAAATCTTCGTTTTCTTCAGCTGCTTTTTTTGCCGTTCAAAAGAGTCTTGTAGAATTCCCGATTCCACCATTTCCATCGGTGTGAATGGCCCTCTGGGGTCGTGACGTAATATGGTTGCTCGCCCTGCCTGCCTGGACGCAATTCTGGTGTTTTAAAACAACAATCTTCGCGTCGTGACCTGCGGAAGCGATCATGATGTCTATTCAGCCTTATCAGCTCTTGCCTGAGTACTCCTCCAGTGAAGAAGCTGAAGAAGAACCCGTGGATTTAGGGGAGGAGGAAGTTTCTTAATTTCAATCTTCGAACGTTGAAAGTCGCCGGAGGGATTGTTCTTCTTGGTGTGTTTGTTAAAGATGTACAGTCATGCCAAGGGAAGTTGAATATGTGGAATGCAACGGCCTCCCTTTTTAGTCAAAGCCGGTGGAAGGTTTGGTTACTTTACACTTATTTTTAAAACTCATTTTTTAATATTTAATTTCAATGGGGAGCCAGGAACTATGAAATTCCATGATGCGTAGACAGTACCAGCCTGGTGGTTTGATCGCGACTGGCAATCCTTAGCCTCCTTATTACCAAAATTACTTGATCGATTTACCGTTTATTTGATGGGAATAAATTGTATTATTTTACTGTCGAAATTACAGAGAAAAGCCATTATGGAATTTTAAGTTCTACACATAGTCAGAGAGGGACGCGAGTGATGTTTATGAAGTTCTTTGAAATAAAGGAAAGCATGAGCTTAGCCAAATCCTCCTTCTAATCCCAAACTTAATAGCAGTAATACTTCAGTACAGTATGTTGCCCAGTATCCGGCCACTTAAAACAGACAGTCATTTTTTGAGGCGCCCGTCGCATGAAGAACAACTTAAGTCCAACTTAATTGTGTAATATAAAATAAGGTCAACATTAGAAAACATCGGAAGAAGCAAGATTGGACATCTTATGCTTTGAAACCGGGTCATTTGCTTCATATTCTACATCTATATCCGCCACACCATCGAGGACTAGCTGCAAAAACAAGTAATTTTTTTGTTAAATATACATATACTTACATGTATGCCGTATCCCATTACAATATTTGAAAGCTACCCGTTTTTATTTCAGTGCTTAACCCTAATAACTGTAGATCAGTGCTTAACTGGCGCTCTGCTGTTTTGGCACTTTTCAGCAATTCTACCGGGTTAACGGTGTTCTGTTCCAGTATCGTTACGTAAAGAGAATAATGCGTTGTGCAAACCCCATAAGGTGTCCAGTCTTGCTTCACCCGATGTTATCTAATGTTAACTGTTGATATTTGCGTGATAAACACCTTGACAAGCTGTCATCAACTGATCCTTGGAGTGTCCGTAACAAGAGTGTCCGTTGTCAGTATTATATAGGGCTTTATAAACAAAATATGTGAGAATTTTGTCAGGACGAAGCTTACCGTAATCTACGACTTTCTAGTTCCCCATAGTGCAATTTTACCTAAGCTTGTTTTCAGTTTCTCTTGACGCAAATTTTAGTCCTAACAGAGATTAAAAACAATACTTATACAAAGTTTGCGGGAAAAGCAAATTTGCTCTTCTACGTCTTTCCATCTAGGAACTGGTTAGCTCAAATGACCACCACAAACCGCATATCCCATTACAATATTTGAAAGCTACCTGTTTTCATCTCAACGAGTACAACTTACAATATATTTAAGTCTGTCAGACTTGAAAACGTTCCTGTTTCCAGTTTCTGTATTTTGTTGTCTTGAAGATATCTGCATAATGGGAGAAACAAAGAATTGGATGGAAAAAAGCACTACAAACTCCCATCACGATAACACCACTCTTAAATAAAATATTGCCCTAAATGCTCTTTAAGATCCGATCCCAAAAGGAGATTTTACGCACAGAAAAATCTTCGTTTCCTTTAACTGCTTTTTGTGCCGTTCAAAAGAGGCCTATGGAATTCCCTCGTCCACCATTTTCTTTGGGGTGAATGGCCCTCTGGGGTCATGACGTAATATGGTTGCTCGCCCTGCCTGCCTGGACGCAATACTGCTGAACAACAATCTTCACTTCGTGACCTGCGGAAGCGATCGCGATGTCTATTCAGCCTTATCAGCTTGAGCCTGAGTACTCTTCCAATGAAGAAGCTGAAGAAGAACCCGTGGATTCAGGGGAGGAAGAAGTTTCGTAATTTCAATCTTCGAGCATTGAAAGTCGCCGGAGGGATTGTTCTTCTTGGTGTGTTTGTTAAAGATGTACAGTCATGCCAAGGGAAGTTGCTAAAACTTCGTCTCATAATAATGACAATAATATATTAAAAATTGTGAGAGGTTTGAACCCAGGAGTCATTTCAAAAGGTTGAGTTTGATCGTCAGGGTGAATGTAGTCCTGAATAGGACTGTTGTTGTTGACAGTGACTGACGTTTCGACAACCTGTGCGGTAGTCATCTTCAGAGTCAAAGTGAGCTGTATCACGTCAGTTGATGATATTATACTCTGGTTATTGATCTGATTGGTCAATTATGTCGCGATGTTATTGATCGTCTGTCAGTTAAGTCGTGATGTAACGACGAGAGAACAACTGGAGAACTGACAATTTGACTAACCATAGACGACTGTTTAACTGTGACAATAGACGGATCGAAACGCACCAATCACTGATTACGAGTCTTCATAGCCAATAACATCACGGCTTAACTGACAGACGACCAATAACAACGCGACATAATACCATCAACTGACGTGATACAACTCACTTTGACTCTGAAGATGACTACCGCACAGGTTGTCGAAACGTCAGTCACTGTCAACAACAACAGTCCTGAATATTCAGGACTACGTTCACCCGGACGATCAAACTCAACCTTTTGAATATATTAAAAATTATTATTATTATTATTATTTCTCAATAATGATAATAGCAAAATGACGAATACCATGTTAAACTGGTATCACTTACAAATATTGCAATCGTGTCATGTTTGAGAAAATCCCTGCATCTAATTGCTGAATTTTGTTGGAGCTTATATTTCTGTAAGCAGGTAAAAACCAAATTACAACACAACTTACAAATTGTTTCCCAATAGTTTTACTTTGGAATTGTCCCTAAAAACATTACATCCAAAATATTAATGTTAATTGTTATAAAGATATTCGGATAAGTGTTTGTAGAATAGAAAAGACAATCAATAGCCCACGTAATGGCCTATGTAAGGGATTTTATAATAGCGTGTAGCAAACTTAGGCTTAGGGTCAAGTTGATTAGTAGTATTACCAAGTGCCTTAAAAACATAGCTGTTAACAGCCCTGTCAATAACTCAATTATAGAGACAATTGATATTGGTGCACGATTGTCAATGTAGCTTCCTTCGCCTTGCTTGAATAGAGGAGTAATCGATCCTTGCAGACTTCCAATCATCAGGAAATATGCCACTAGCTAGAGAACTATTAAATATAACTGAAATATGAGGTGCAATTAAATCAGCCGAATCAAGAATATTCCATCTAGACCAACACCTTTAGATTTATTAAGTTTTTAAAAAGAAAAAAAAAAGAGAGAACACCTGATTACTATCAGTGGGGACGAATTTGAATCTTTTGCTAAGATCAGAGATATGTTTCTGAAAACTGGGACCATTGGTTAAAGGTATTTGATCATTGAAAGGGTTTGACAAAGCGGTTGAATTAGTTATACAAACTCCATTCAGACTTAATACCTTAACAGAAGACCTGCCCTTTTGCGGGATGTAAGCTCATTGATCCCCTGCCACGTTTTACGCGGGTCGCCAGCAGATTCCGTGAATTTGTTTTTATAGAATAAGGGTCTGTTTACATGGAGGTGGGGGACCCCAGTTAGGTGAGGTAACCCGCTTAACCGGCGTAGCCCGCCTATCCATATGATCTCTCATTTTAATTTGATCACGTTTACATGATAGGTGGGGTGACCCGCCACATGTTACCCCACCTATCTGGGGTCCCCCACCTCCATAAAAACAGGCCCTAATTCTTTAGCCTGTTTGATTTCAGCGTTGACTTTGTTACGCATTCTTTTTAAGCAGACTCAATCGTGCGGATCATTGGGCCTAATTGCTTTTATTTTCATAATATCCCTACTATGCATGATTTGTGCATTCGTGAAAAACCTACTTTGAGTCTCTTCAGTAATACAATTTTACAAAACATCATCACGCCTTAAGGAACATTATCACTCAACATCACTGGAATGTTTAGGTAGCCCTTGGCATTTCATTTTACTTTTTCTGATAGGCTAAACGATCGATCTACCTCTACACTAAATATCTGTGGTTTACTCTGACTTGTCATCCGAAACGCGTCTTTGCTCCTACTAAGAAAGTGGACCGTCTGTCAAGTTCCGAAATGCTTGAGTCTCCACCTACCAGTTTCTCATCTTCGTCCTTACTTGAATCGTATTCTAGATCCTCGTCATCATTCTCGGCGTCACTTTCGCGGATCTCAACCTCTCTTTCTTTCTCGAGCTCTTTTAGTTCAGAGGATTCCGCTGAGGACAGGTTAATTCTATTGGTAGATATCTGAAGCTGCCTCTGATAAATAATGCCTGGAATCGTTCCGTAACGGTTTATTCTTTGCCGAACGGCAGCTCCATACGTTAAGGCGTAACTACGCATTTCTTCTACCGCTCTCTCTTGAAGTCTTACTATTGGAAGCTGTGGAATAGTAGCACGTGCTGCAAATTTTTTGGATCAGCGTACCGTGAGCTCTTTTCACTGGTGTAATAATACACTGTCGAAGAATATCGTAGCAACCGGGAACAAGCAAATTTGTAGGATCTGCATGGCAGAGCAGTAAGAAGAAGAGTGACTTTTTAAGCTCATTCGCATGGTAGGAAGAGGCGTTGATATGCATTCCTCCTCTGACGCGAAAATGACAGATTTTTGGACAATTGACGCGTCTCAAACGGATGAAAATATGTAAAAGGCTACGACAACTGCTTTTTTTTTTCAAATTGGGATATTTAGAAGGTGTAAAAGATTACAGTGTGGATAGCCATGTAATTTATAAAAAAAATATCGAGGTTCCCATGGCGTTAGCTCAGGCTAAAATACCAGACTAAATCGTGGTTAATTAAGGCCTAATTAAACGGTAATCATAATATTTATACTAATAATCATAATAGCGCTAAAACAGAGCGAAAAGAAAACGGAGCGTTACCACTGGACTAAGGAAACCTCCCTCAACAATCAGCTTGAAGTTATATTATTTAAACGAAATGAGGTCGCAACGTTACGAAATGCACTGTTTCGAGAGAAAATACTTTTTAAAGGGTCAAAAATCTCAGGTATGGTCTGACAATAAACGGAAAATTCGCTTGAGATGCGTTACAATTGCTATTAAGCCAAGTCATAAAGTAATATTGTTCAAAAAATCTCAGAAAGTGTTGTAAAAACAATCTTTTGGGTGTTTTACTCTTCTTCGGTTGTATTGTGATGCATTCACCTCTCTTTTTTTTCCACTAAAAATGATACAAGAAATGTCCTGTTCACTAGACATTGTGTATGTTGCGCATTTACATTTACTATTTAAATTTGAAATATAGTGTCAAACAGTTTAAACCAAACGTAAGATAAGTAAAAACAAGTATTCAGACATCTTACAGCTGCTTCAAATTTGTCAGGTTGGAGAATACCCCTGCGTGAAGATCCACAATGTTGTTGGAACTAAGATCCCTGTAAAAAAAAAAAAAGAAAGAAAGAAAAATTCAAGATGTTAATACAAAACCTATGTTCTTCTGATTGTGTCTAGAAATAGACTTAAAAATAGGTGTTTCGGTTGTACAACCCTTCTTCAGTCAAGAAAAAGACGTCGCATAACTCGGTAGTTTAATTCCCATATCTCATTATATATATAACGTTAACAGTTTTTCTTAATATATAGATTTAGCCAGGGCTAAAAGCGAAGCTCCCATTAATAAATTTATAATTTAAATCAAACAATAAACTTGTAATCCACAAATCAGTTAACTTTAAGGGAAAGCTAAGAGTGAAAAAAAAATCTTACATCGAATTGATAGCCGTATATATACACCCAAAAAATAGCAATTATCTTCGATCACATTTTAGAGCCATAATGGCTCTTGATCACAGTAGATTAGGCCTGGAAAACGAATTTTTGGAAAACAAATCAGGCCGAATTTTTTGCGTTCGACAAGTTTACTTAACAAAATCTTGCCAATAACTCTGGGAGCGAGTAAACCAACATTTCATACTTTTTATACATCACATCTGAAACAGTAATATGAGGAGTTGTTTTTATCATATAGACCTCAGACAAAATGCAATATTTCACAATTTTTCAAGACAAATTGCACTCATTCAATATTCAGAACCGTACGAAGCGCGCGTGCGCTTTTAGCAAAACCGTTCAAAAAATTTCCAAAATCACCTATACGGCCAGCCGCTTCTCACTTTTGACAAGCGCCAAATTTTCAGTGAACATTAAGAGTTACGCTTCAACATAATAAAGAATTTATTGTGTTTATTTTTTTTATTAAATGGTTTTATAACGATGTGTAATCTTAAAAAGCGTTTGATACGAGCAGCATTTTGAGTACTCCTGCAAATGTTGTTTATAAACGACTGAAAACAAACGGCAAAGCGATTAAAATTGTGAGAGACTACTAACAATCAATGAAAGAAATGTAATTCGGTGAAACAGTTACAGAGACAACAATTTTCATTCACGAAGACAAGTATTAAAGCGTCTCTAAAAATCCTGAGTCTTTAAGCTTAAGCTTAAAGCTTTTAGCCGGCTTCCCGGTGTTTACTGTTTTCAGAGATGAACTCGAGGCAAGAAAATCGCTCAGAGCTTTCTTTCTACAGCCAAAATTATAACTAAATACTCTTCGGAACGTTTTTTCGTTCTATATGCGGAGAGAAAATATCGACTAAAGGCTTTTTAAAGATCTGCAAACTTATATATACTAGATCAGATCATTGTCTCAGATCTTAATACAAACGTGCATAAATTAGCCTCATAAACTGCGCTCGACTTCATGAAAGTAGATATAAAAAAACAAACATACACTGTATACAATAATTACTTAGGCTTACCATTCAAGATGCAGCTCTTGAAAGCTATAAAGTAAGGCCAGAATCGCTTGAGGGACTTTTCAACCTGCATCCAGCAAGGTAAAAACGAAAGCGATGCATCCGAAATCGGATTTCCATCTTTGGCAACCGGCGAATTCAAAGCCCGACCAAAAATTCAATAAACAAACCAGCCATGAATCAAAGAAGACTGTTGATAGCAGCTGTATTTCATTTTAAGCATCCAGTGGAAAAAGACAGTAAAATACATCACAAGTTGACAAAATACTCTGTCAGCTTCAGCTGTCAAACTGAAAGTAAACAAGGTTCAGGATGCTGTATAAATTTTCTGCATGAACTCACCTGTCAAATTTTGACCAATCAGAGCATAAAAATTGGACTGTCGTAGAGCGTGATCAACGCGTGACTACGGTGAGAAAAGTGAAAAGCCTCTGTCTTCCCTGCTTGTATTTTTAAATGAGTGGCTGAATTTTCGAGTCCGAGATCAGTTTGAAATCAAAATGTTAATAGCGCGGGGCCATAGTGACATTAAATAGAGACCTTCACAACACTTTCTGTCATCATGTCATTACTTTGCTGCCGTTCTCTTTGCCTTTGTATTTCTCTTTCGCGTTTCCTTTGTCTGTTCATTCTAGCTCTGTCTCGTTCTGCTTGCCGGCGTTTTGCACTATAATTTTCTCTCCTTCTTCTCGCTCTGACTCTTTCTACTTGCTTTCTCTTTTTCAAAACCAGTTGCGCGATATAATTGCGCGACGTTGCGCCATGCGATTTCCCGCCAGAAAATCTCTACTTTCCCCTACCCCAAGAGTCCATGCGGACTACTTTTCACTACCCGGAAAGTCTGTACGGACGGACGTACGCTACGTCATAACCAAATTTTCTGGGATGGATAGTTTACCAAATTTTCTTACCCATGGTGCTCCGCTTCGCGCGCGCGGGAGCTCCGCTACAAAAAGAGGGGTTAAGTACTCGAAATGACTTTTTTTGGTAGTTTCGAAATTTTGTTTCTACAAAATTATTCTATATCGTCAGACAAAGCTATAAATTGACTCTTAAAAACATCTTTGGAGGGAACAATTAAAAAAAATTTTCCCACTCTTGTCTTTACTTCGTTTCTGAACTGGAAGAGAAAGCACATATTAAATACCTTAACTGACCTAATAAACACCCACTTCCAAATAAACGCCTTTTACCTATTAAACGCCCCCTCTACGCTGTTAACATTTTATTAGACGCCCCATAATGGTACTACTGATGTGGAAAATATACATCTGGAATGTGGTAATCCTGTGAAAATATCCGCTTTCTCTTCCGATCCTTTATTTTTCCTCCCTAACCGATATCGCCCTAAATAACGTACTTCTGTAATTTCAATTTCTCTCAGTAGTTCCCAACTTGGGGGATCACTGATAAAGAGTCTGTACCGCACGCTATCTATTTTATTTCAAAGCAAAATATTACTATTGAATTCCTAACTGACATATCAACGACAA